ATGCCCATGCCGCAAATGACAGGCAGGACGGCAGAGTAACTTCCAGTGTCATACTGAGAGACCGCTGGGCTGAGGACAGCTCTCCTTACGCCTGGTCCAGCTCTCTTTGCACTACGTGAACCTCGAGAGCTCCCTGTCCGGTGTGTCATGCGCTGTGGACGCAGCACGCTGTACTCTGCCCCAGAGCTTCACTAGAGGGCTTACTTGGGTCTGATTCATGACCAGCTCCTTGCTCAGCTGCTTTGGAAATCAGCCTCCACCACACTGTGGGTGGGCAGAATGGCACCTGGGAACCAATGCACTGTCCAGTCCGACCTGGTGACTGTTAGGAAGCGGCCTTTGGGGATGCATTGAGCACGAGGCCCAAATGCAGCGCCTTTCTGAGAGAAAGAGGCAGATGCGGGGATTAAGTTGAGCGGTCAGAGCAGGACCTGAGCCCCAGTGGACCTGGCTCTCCATCAGCATCTATGCCTCACACGAGCACCCTGGGCACAACCTTCATACCCGTGTCCTGAACCTAGTCTGCGGAGCCCAGGAATCCCCGAACTCCAGGAGACCTTGGGTGCGGCTTTACCAGGGAGACCTGCCCTGCTCTGCCCTCTAGGCTTCCCTTTCCTCCCAGAAACAGGAGGGGGTGTTGTCTACATGAACCCACAGACAGGAGCTACCAGAAAGCCACTGCCGCTGGTTCACACCCGGCAGCAATCGTAGCAGGATCTTTTGGCCAAGCCGATTCCATCTTAAACGGCAGTTAGTCAGGTTTGCAGACCTGAAAACAGACATCTGAAACACTTTCTCACAGACATACGTGAACTCACAGCTGCTTTGGAAATCAGCTTGAAATCAGAAAGAGGCCTTATGTATGGAAAGAATGAGAGCTTTCTGAAGATGTAAGAGTAAAATATAGGTGTACTATTGTTGGAAAAAACCCCAAAACTTTGCCAATTTCCTCTAAACGAAAGGGGAGTAGAGATGCCAGAGCAGCACCCGAGGCAAAGAGAGCCGAGCTCCGGGGTAATCCCAGCTGTGCCTGCACTTGGACAGGGGCCCAGAGTGAGCCTGACCCTTCTTACCTGCAGGTCAGGTGGCTGCCAGGCTGCCCTCGGCCAGGCTCCCAGAGATCAAGGGAAGACCCAGCAGAGATGGGGAAGCAGCTGTGCCAGGTCAACTCCTGAGATCCCTGAGGAGTCCTGGGTCGCATTTCACAAACCCTGCTAGTCCAGGAGCGAGGCCCCGCACTTGTCCCAGAGTACACCGTTCACATCCTTAGCTCTCCCAATCCTCCAATCCCCCGGCTGAGGCCCTGCTTCTCCATGCTGGGCCACGGAAAACCCTACCCAGCCACCAGCTCGTAAAGGCTACTCGGAGACCGATGCGCTGTGGCTGTGGGGAGGATTCAAGGCAGGTGTCTCGGGGTGGACGATGGCAAAGGGAGAGATGCCAGGGGAGGAGGGGATGGGGTGGCACGGGAAACCAGGGCAGGTCAACAAGGGCAGACCCCCTTCTCACGCGCAGCCAGCCCAGGGGGCTGAAGAGCTGGGAGCAATCCTGGAGGACAAGAACACGAGGAACCTCTGGGAAAGTTCACAGAAGCCAGTCGAGAAGAGCCTCTGGGCTCCAGCTTGCTCCTCCTCACCCGTCACCTTCCTCAACTTGAGGGAACAAGCTGCCACCGTCCCAGGGACAGACAGGGAAGCAGTGGGAGACTAACTGCCCATGGCAGAAGCTGAGAGAGAAATACATTGACAGGGAGGAGCAAGAGGCCTTCCCTCTCTGCCCACCAACAAGCACCTGGCCTGCTGCCTCAGTCCGTTTCTGACCCAGCCTGACCCTGCCTCCACGGCCAGAATCATCTCCGGGTTCGAGTCTCCGTACCCCCGCCACGGCTGCCCAAACATGCCCAGCTCACACCTCCCCCTAAGTGTACAGACAGGCTCCTCGACTCAAGGTTCAGCTCCTGAAAAGGCACACACCCGAAGAACACCACCCTCCCTGGCCAAAACACAAGCTTCGAGACCCTGGGCGGCCCCATAGCCTGGCCCAGCCCATCTCTACTTACGCCAGACTTCCCTCACCACCTGCCGCTCTCTCCCCTCCTTTCCTCTCCAGGGAGTGTAAGGGTGGACAGATCTGGGGGAGAGGCTTGGCCTGGCCACTTCCTGGCTGTCTGCACTTGGGCAAGTGTCCCCACCCTCTGGCCCTGGCTGCCTGTCTGCTTCTGAAGAGTCAGGACTTCAGGCTGTGCGAGGCTCACTGCCGGGCTAGCTCCTAGCTTTCCTCCCCGCTGCGCTTCCACTGCACTTAGGAGTCTACCACCACACTTAACACCTAGCGAATCTATTGTTTTTAATTTGCATTTTCCCAGCCGGACCATAAGCCTCCCTAACACACCTTTGCCTTTGTGATTTCAGAGACTGTTCATTGTAGAAAATCTGTGAGACGCCAGAAAGGAAACCCTCAGAGACAGCCAGTGAAGACGCTGGGCCTGCTCCCGTGCAGCGACTGCATACAGGCTTGCTCTCTGGAAAACGCAGACCAAGTTTCATCTCTTGCTCATTCACCCAGCACAGCAGGTGGCCGTTTCTAACTTCAGACCTCTTTTGAACACACTTGCTTGTTTGTCTCAGTGTCTGAGTAACACCCCTGCAGCAGGATTCCGAGCACTTATTCAAGTAATAAGTGAGGGAGGTCTACATCAGCCTGCTTGGAGCTTGAAATCAGCCTTGTGCGCAGATTAAGAACATCCTCCAGAACGGAACACGCCACGTGGAAACGGCTTTTGACTCAATATAAAGAGAATGCTCTAGATCAGCCCAAACGACGCAAACAATGAATGGGCCACTGCTGTCTGAGGAGGTTCCTGGTCACTGAAGACAGTAGAGATCACCTATGAGGGATCCAAGCAGAGAGAGGGCGGGGCTACATGATTTTCACACCCCCTCTACCCTGAGGGGGCTCTGTGACTCTGTGACCCTGTCCTTCTCGCCCAATAAGCTCTGAGCACCTGGTCACAGGGGAATTCCACAGCAGCGCCTCCTCTAAACACCCCTAACTTTCTCAGCACACACGGAGCCTGGCTTCTTGGGAGCTACTTGCACATCTCACAGAAGAGTCTCCAGGGTGTTCCAGAACCCAGGGAAATGTTCACGGTGCACTGAAACATTCCCACAGAGCCCCGCGATGGCAGACAGGGTGAGCATACGTAAATATGCAACGAGAGGCCTTTCAGTAGCAAAATCTCCCTACTGCCCGTGTGTGTCTTTTCTTCTTCACTTTAGTCTTTTCCGTAGTTTCTAAACCTAATTAGCCCTAGAGTCCATCTGGCAATTTACCTGCAATTACCCAGGGTGCTCCACATGGTGACTCGCGCACTCTGGGCATGTGAAGTAACATGGCCAATGAAGCGGTTTTTCTCCACTCCTTCTTGTACAGACTGCCTACAGGACGGCCAGAGCGGAGCCATGTGAGTATTGTGGCTACCTCACCACCAGAGGACACGGGGAACTGGAGGGACGCCCCCGAAGGCCGCCCTGCCAGCTTCCCTAGATGAGGATTCTCCCAAAAGCGCAAGACCCCCACAGAAAACCTCCGTCTTCCCAGTTCATTGTTCCCAGGGCCAGACTTCCCCAGGCGCTGGTCTGGTTACAGGCATACAGGGTGGGGCGGGGGAGCAGTTTTCAGGAAGCTCACTCTTCCCCAAATTAGCAAGCAGTGGGGGTGAAGAGTCAAGGTTGACTAAGTAAGCTTCCCCAAAGCTCAGCCTTGAGAATATGGAGGCACTGAGGCGGGGGTGGGGGGGAGGGGGGAGAGCAGTCTGTGAGCTGTGAGCCCCTCACTTGCCGGACTGATGGCCAGTCTAGGGGATGCATGCAGAGGAAAGCCCCCCTAAATCCTCGTAGCCAAGGGCTAACCCTTCTTGCCCACTGGCTGAACCCCCACCTCTATCCTAGGCTGTCACCCATCCCCACAGAATGTGTTGAGTCGGGTGAGACCATGAGAACCCTAAATATATTTAGTTTGATTTTTAAAGGAAACACAAAATTGATCATTTGAAACCGGGCTCTCCAGGGAAGGGGCACCCAACTCTGGTTCTGGGAAGACAAGAGAGAGCAGCGAGCTCCAAGGCCAGGGTACAAGCTGGGTCCCCGCCCCGCAAGAAGCCAAGGAATAGAGGAGCGGCCCCGAGAAAGACCCCTTGTGTTTGGAACCAGAGGGTACGGAATGACACCTCCAAAGGGCTGCCAATGCTCCAGACCAACTCAGCTTCTGAGCTGGAGCTGCTCAGTGGCCACCCTGCCACCTCAGGCGCAGAGCCTGTCTGCAGGAGGCGAGGCTCCCAACTTTAGTCAAACTCACTTCACAACAAAACCATGGGCTCCCAAGTTCATTTAGCCTACTGTCCCCTTTACAGAAAAAAAAAACTACTCAGCGTTCCTCCCTCCCCCGGCAATTAAAAACCTTTGTGCCACATAGCCCATAACTGAGGATAAAGTATAGGTATCTGATATTGTAGCCCCTCTGGATCATTCCAGTGCCCATCCTGGGGAGGGAAGGGGGGCATTTTACCCATTTTAGGGAACACTGATCCAAACGAAGAGACGTTCTGGTACCCAGTGGACACGGGACATGGAGTCCCCCCAGGGAGCCTGCAGTCCTGCCCACCACACGCCCGGTGTCTGGCTGGGAAGAGCTGGCCGGGTGCCTCACGGCACAATGCACGGTCTGGGGCCGCACGGGCAATCAGGGAGGTACAGGCCTGCCCCAGCCTCTCAGGGTGGGACTTGTGAAGAGCTGGGGCAGGACTGGAAGGGAAGAGCTTGCCAAGAAGGAGCACGGCACGGAACCGATTCCTGGTCTTCTAAGTCACTTCCATTAGCTATTCCCTGGGATGCAGGTCTACGTACTGCTTCCACCTCCAGCCGGGGCCTCTGGGGCTGTTGGGGAGGCAGGTTTCTCCTGCGCAGCACCCAGCCTGGAGGAGGACAGGGGCCTGCACTTACCAGGAAGTGGACATCGTCAAAGCCATTCAGAAGCAGCTTGCTCTCATGCTGCTGCAGCCCGATCGACTCCAGCCACTCCCCGACACTCTGCTCCAGCGTGCGAGAACCTGACGAGACAGGAGTCGGCAGACGCTTGAAAAGGGAAAACCCATTAAGGCGGTAGCAGCGGCACTCAGAGGAAGACAGATGGCACTGCCACATCATAGTCATTACCATAACGCAGCCAAATTATGTACAACAGACCAGAGCAGCGGACACGCACGCAGCTCCTCTTCTGTGGGCAGGCCAAGGACAGGGCTGCCTGGCGCTGCCGCCCCACTTACACCCCTGGGCTGAGCTGCTCCCGGGCAGCGGCGCTGGTGCATGCACGGTCTCTGCCCACAGGTCAGGGGGATGCCAATCCCCAACAGTCTCCGGTCAGTTCCTTGTCAATGTTCAGGTCTCTCTGGAAGTCTGTCCCCACAGGCACTAGGGGGCTGGGGGACGCTCCCACGTGCCCTCGAGCCCCGCTGCTGCTCTCATCCATGCTCTGGTGCCCCAGGGCTGCTGCGGGCGAGGGGAGTTCTGCGACCTTGCAGCACAAACGGGTCAGGAGAGAGCACACGTCTTCATGCAGTGGACACAGGCACACAGCGAGGGCTCCGGGAGGGAAGCAGCGGCGGCTGTTCACGGGGACTCAGCACATGCAAGGCAAGCAGCACAGGACATGGCGGGGGGACAAGGGAGACTTTTACTTGTTTTTCCCCAGCAGTCCCGGAATAAGCACACCATGGCCACAGCCCTTCGTGCTCACAGGCTCAGGGCAAACAGGAGACGAGCGGCTCACGGGCCGGGGCTCTGAGACCAGGCTCAGGTGTGGCTCTGCTGTGGCGGCAACATCGCATTCCGACTAGCTGCATGGCCAGCAGGGGCCAGGAGCCCAGTCCACGGCTAGACCCTGGCAGGGGGCGAGGAGGGGGTCTCGTGGGCCAGCGCACTGTCTAGAAGCCTGCCTTCCCCGGCCGGGCTCTTCTTCAGGGGCTGGGCATTCATTCTCCTCTTCTGACAGACAGTGGCTGTTCCCAGGACTTGCCGGCCGGCTCAGGGGAAAGTGGGCAAGGCAGATTCAATTTTTGGCTGAAGACGACAAAAACCCAACCAGATAAAAAGGAAAAGGAAGCGGTGGCAACAAAGTCTGTTCACGTCCGGCGCTGTCCTCTCCGGCACTGTCCTGCAGGGTCTGCAGATCTCCGCTGGTCTCCTCTGAGGACGAGCGAGGAGGACAAAGATTTGCCGGCTCTTCGGTGGAGGCAGGGGATTTGCGCGGTACAGGGAGGAAAAAAGTTCAGCCCTTCCGGAAAGACACTGGCTGCTGGGAGCTGAATGCCTCCCCCCCAGCCAGCTGCTCGGCTGCTCCCCGAGTCTGCTTCTCAGAGGCACAGATAAGAGGAGAAACAAGGGAGGAGGTCTCCAACTCCAAAGGCATCACTGCCACTGAACTCTAGACACGACCAAAGTCATTTTGTCGTTCCTGGGCACTTTGGGCCCTGTGGGGCAGGACAATGCCAACTTGCTGGGTGATGTCGGAGTCTTGGCTCCAGCTCCTTCTCTGTCCTTTGCAGACTGATGATGGTCAGGGTCCGGGACACCTCCGGTCACACTGCAGCGGCTCTCCGAGGTGCCAAGGATGGCTGAGGCTTGAGTGGCGGCTCTGCAGGCGGAAGGCTCTTGTGTGCCCAAGTCAAGTGTCCCCAGCTGCTGATTCATTCCGGCTGGGCAGCTGTCGTCCTGTCTGCTGCCCGTGGTGGTGTGCTCTCTCAGATCCACAGCAGAATGCTTTGTCTAACGGGTCCTGGGCTCCACGCCGGCTGCTGCTGGCTCCACAGTCCTTGCTCACTCTCATAATGCCGGACCCTCCCCTTCCCCCTCCTCCCTTCTGCACTCGGGAAAATGCATCAGGGATCAGACATCAGAGCAGAAGCTGCTGCTGCTGCTGCTGCTGCTGCTGCTGCTGCTGCTGCTGCTGGCGGCGCCGCCGCCACCACCACAAAGGGGGAATCACAGCAGCACTAGCATCCGAGCAAAATGACAGATTTCCCAAGGTTCGATGGTGGCTAGAACAAGTGCATATGGAAGACAGAGATGGGCGAACTTTACCTAGAGCTCAAGGGGATGGAAAAAGCTCCGAGGTGAATTAGCAAGAACAGAGAGGGGTCATCCCTCCAGCTCTGGCCACCAGGCTCTCGACAGCCAGGAAAGGGGACAGAGGCATAACCCTCCCTGCTGTCCCGAGTGCAAAGCCCACAGGTAAGTGACCTCCACTTGCTACTTTCAGGATCTCTGTGCCTCCTGTCAAGGAGAGTAAGTCACGGGAATTACAACAGCCAAGAAACCATAGGTATATCACACCTGTGCATACCAAACAACCTAGAAGCGCTCTTCTCTGGGCCTGCTAGAGCCCAGGGCACAGGCAGCTCACTCAGAGCAGCACATGCAGCCTGGGGGCGGATTGCACTAGAGGGGTGTGGCCAAGGACAAGGGGAAGCCAGACACAAATCCCAAATAAGAGCTGCAGGTGTCAAAACAAGGTACTTTGTGTGCACAAACAAAAATCCAGGGACTATTATGCCACTCTCTAAATGTGCTGGCAGCTGCCTGCAGCCCGGGAAGCTGGCAGAGAAAGGATTGGGTGGAGGGGAGGATTGGGGAACAGGTTCCAGAAGGATCCTGCATTTAACAGCTACTCAACAGCTACCATGTCAACTGGTTTTCTTCTGCTCCACAGGCACCAGTTTGTTGAAAAAAGTCAGAGTGGCCAGGCCAGTGGGAAGGCTCTCGAGGCCAGAATCCTGAGAGTAGGACGTGGCAGAGGGATGAGTTGGGGGGGTGGGGGACGGACGCTGATAACTAGCTCCAGGGCTGGCAGCACACAGCCACGTCGCCCAAGCTGGACTGAAATGCAAGCGCTATGCTTGTGCCCGTCCAGAGCGGATCCCCAGTCCCAGCGGGGCCATCTCAGTGCTTAGTGGAAGTGATATGCAGGAGGGCCGGCTCCTTCCCCAGCCAAGTCTCCCCTCCCAATTCTAAAACCGGAGGACAAGTTGCACCCTGGTACCGACCACCCAAAATATACAGTTATTCTGCTGCGGTCTGAGCTAGAAGTTGGTGGGCCCCGAGTTCCTAGGGAAAGCCCCCTCCTGACTGGGCCAGACGCCCCCGGCTCCATGTTTCCCAGCCGGGCAGCAGGGAAGACACATGGTGGCTGGAAGTCTATAGTACAGTTGGACACGTTCTCTGTACAGGGAGCCAGCATGGTTCAAATGCCCCAGTCCTTGGAGCCCTGGTGGTGCATCGATTATGGACTGGGCTGCGATCCTTACGGCTGTCAGCAACACTCGGGAGAAAGCCGGGGCTTTCTGCTCCAGTAAACAGTACAGCCTCGGAAACTCACAGGGACAGTTCTACTCTGTCCTACAGTGATGGCGGTGAGTGAGATGCTCCAATCCATAGTCAAAGAATGGCAGAATTGATTCAAAACAAAACAAAAACACGCTCCAACTATTTACTGTCTACGAGAGACACAGATAGGTGGAAAGTGAGAAACTACCGCATGTAAATAATACCCAAGAAAGGGGTGGGTGGCAATCTTAACAGCACAGAAAGTGAGCGTTTGAGACAAAGCCTGTCAGGAGAGATAGCGCTAAATAACAGAAGATTTAACAAACATATATTAGGGACCCAGCCCCGGGGCGCCTAAGTACAGAAAGCAAACACCGACAGACTTGACGAGAACAGCCGAGAGCGCGACAATAGCAGTTGGAGACTTCGCTGCACTGCTTTCCGTCTGCACCGAACATCAGAAAAAAGACCACACGGAAACCAGGGGCCCGAGTGACAGTACAGACAGATAAGAGGAGATTTTAAAAAGTTCATGGGAAAATGGGATTAAAAGATAAAAATATAAACTTGATTTCTTAACATAAATTCCATGAATTTTAAGATATTTTTGTAGGTGATGATACCAGTCATTTAGTCTGATAATGTAGGGTCCTGGGAATGTACCCATGTCAATGCAGTCTTCTTTACATTACTAACTGAAGGGAAATGGAAGCCCTTTACAGATTTGTTAAGGTTAGGAAATATAAGTCAGAGGAACCTAATCAGGACCGTCAAGTCCTGTGACTTCCCTGGAAGGCTTACTGATTCCCATAAAAGTCCCCCAGTTGCTCATCTGGTGAGAGGAATGAGTTAGGCACACTGTCGTGGTGGTGAAGGAGTCTCGGTGGAGCATGCCAGGTGTTCTTCTGCCACAGTTTCGGCAACTTAAAAAAACAAACTCTTAGAATAAGAGATGCTATCGTTCTTTGGCCGTCCAGAAAGTCAACAAGCAAAATGCCTCCAGCAGCCCCCAAAGTGGTTGCTGTGACCTTCGCTGTGGACCACTTCGCTGTGCTCTGTCTTCAGGACCACAGTGGTAAATCCATGTTTCATTTCCTGTTAAATTCTATGAATTGCTTCCGGATCCTACTTCTTTAAAATTCCCATTAAGAGCGCTGTTCTCATCTGCAGCTAGGCTGGGCACAACAGTTTTAGTGAACAATTTGTTCAATTAAAATTTTTTTTGGTTAAAATTGTGCAAGCTGAACCAATTGAGGTGTCTATGGTGTTGGCTATTGTTTCTGCTTTTAATTGTTGGTCATCTTTAACTAGGACAGAAAGATGATTAATTTTTTCCTCAAAAATCCACATGTATGGTCTGTTATTGCAGGCTTTGTCTTTAACACTGTCTTGTTTCTTATTAAACAATCCATCTATTTGCAAACTGATTTATTTGGGGCATTATGCTCATAATTTTTTTAAATGTGTGAGTGATTTTGTTATTCTCCTACCCAAGCGTCGGGTGGGATTTTTTGTAGTTCTTTATGCACCATAAATTTGCTGTACGCTCTTGCTTCACTTTTTAGCACAGTTCATGTTGCGGACATAGGGCTATTTTCAAACTGATGGCTTCTCCTTCTTGATATTCAAACTAGATTATTTCTAGACATGTTATAACAAATTAAAATAAATTTATTTGGATGCAAAGAAAAAAAACACAACCCATGCAGTTTTTCATGATACACATTTTTCCATGAACTTTTTGAAGGCTCTTCATATAAGACACCACTGAAAAACAGCACAATATGAGGGGCTTCATGTAAAATAATCATTCCATTTCAGCTCTATTATCTTTCTGAAGCCCTCTCGGATACATTGTACTCTACTGCACACGGCTCATTCTCCAAGGTGGACTACATTTTAGGCCACAAGCAAGTCTTGATATATTTGAAAAGACGGAAATCGTAGTAAGTACTTTCTGACCATACAAAATAAAGTTGAGTGTCAGTAACAGGAAAAAATATGAGAAATATACAAACATGGAAATAAAAAAACACATTACTAAACTACCAGTAGGTCAAGGGAGAAATACAAAGAGAAATCACACTTCGAGTCGAATAAAAATGCACGCATAACATATGAAAATTTATGGGATGCAGTGAAGGCAGACTCCTCCGAGGAAAAGTTATAGCAAAATCTCCTACATAGGAAGAGAAAGTTCTCAAATTAACAGTCTAGCTCGACAATTCCAAGAACGAGAAGGAGAAAAACAAACAAGGCCTCAACCCACCAGCGAAAGGTAGTTACAAAGGTCAGAACATAAGTAAATTAAAAACAAGCAAACAAAGAATCAATGAAACTAGCAGTCGGCTCTTTGAAAAGATGAATAAAATACACAAACCTTAAGCTAGACTGACAAAAATAACATGCAAATACCCAAAATGAAAGTGGCAACATTGTAATTGACCACCATCCCCTCAAATAAAGAGAACGTGACAGAATATTATGAACAGCTGTGTAGCAACAAATTGGATGACCTAAATGGACAAATTCTTAGAAATATAGACTGACCCAAGAGGACACAGAAAATCTCAAGACCCCATAATAAATGAAGAGGCTGAATCAGTGATCAAAACTCCAGGCCCAGGTGATATGGTTTCACTGAGGGATCCCAGAAAACATTTAGAGAAGACTTGAGATAGAAACTCTCCCTACATATAGGGGAGAAGGGAATGCTCCCTAGTTCAACAAACGTGATCCTGACATCTAAACCAAACGAGATGCCATAAGAAAAGAATACTGAAGGCCAATGTCTTTTATGAACCTAGATGCAAAAATCCCCATACCAGCGAACAGAATCCAAGAACTTATAATAGAGTCACACCCTTTAATCAAGTGGGATTCCGGGAATGCAGGGATGGTTCGATAGTAGGAAAGCAATCAATGCAATATCCCATTAATAAACAAAAGTAAAGAAACACCGGATATCTAATAGAGACATAACAATTTTTTGACCTAACGCCATTTCTAGATGAAAACGCTACAGAAGAATGGAATAGAGGTAAAACCCTCAATATGATTCAGGGCATATCTGAAAGTCCCGCAGTCAACACTATACACTGTACTTACATGGAGAACGGCTGAGCGAGCGCCTTCCCCTTGAAACTGCAAACAAACCAAGGTGCCTTATGTAAGCACGTCTAGTCAATCCTGTATTCGAAGTCCTAGTCGGAACAGTAAACGGGAAAGGGGAATGCAAAATTGAAAAGAAGTAAAATAATCTCTATCCACAGATTAAATGATCCTACACAAGGAGGTTTCTCAAAGTTCATGGAAAAACGGAATGGAAAGATAACAGAAAAACCCAAAAAGCCCAAGATAACTTCTATAGCTAACAGAAGAATTGCTCAAAGTTCCAGGAAATAAGGTTTCTATACACTAATGATGACAAATGAAGAAGGGGAATTAGGGAAACAGTTCCATTTAAAATA